ACGTCGCTGATAGCGACGTGGCAACGTGTTGGCGCGCTCGTTTACTGAGGCTGGTGACGTGGCGTTGGGGCGTCGTTTCCGTGTCGTGGCCGTGGTGTTGTGTTGGGGTCGTGGTGAAACGACGACGGACGTCGTTGTGTGCGTCGTGGTGGCCGTTGGTGACGTGGCGGTGTCGCGAGGTGGGTTGGCGTCGTGGATGATGGTGGTGGTTGAGAGAGTGGGAGTTGTTTGTTGATGACGCCCAAATCAAGCGTCGGCAAACGCCGACACTCGATTTGGGCGTCAGGAATTCCGTTCCGTCTCATTCCGGGATCATTCCTTCCGGGTGATTCCTGGAACCATTCTGGCGGAATTTGAATTCCATCAAAATTCCGCCGGAATGGTTTGATCAATTTGGCAGGGCCCTCTGCCAAATTTGATTCCTCCGGAATTCCAGGAATTGCCCGGATTCCGCCGGATTCCGGCAGGAATCAGTGGAGGACAATAAAGACCTCCCCCACAGTGATACTAACGAGGCAGCACTCTGGTTAACAGTAGCTAAGACCAATGGGTGCAACAATGGGATCCACACAATTTGGGCGCAACCCATGGGCGCCAACAGTACAACGGTAAATAATATATCTATTTAACTCTCTCCTACATGGTCCCCCACAGTGAGACTAACGAGGCAGCACTCTGGTTAACTGCATCAAAGACCAATGGGCGCAACAATGGGATCTGCGCAATTGGGCGCAACCCATGGGCGCCAGGAGCAAAGTCAGCCGATCCGTCCTCTATGGGGCTCTGTACTTGTGGCCCACCCATCTCGCATGGCCTATTGTAGAGTCTTGGCCCAGTCATTGCCAAGGCTGAATTTTTGACAGCTCAGCTGAGTCTGCTGGCCCGCTGTTGATGGGTGCCTGTCACACGCCGCTGGCCCATCAGTGATGGACCCATTTGACTGCCCTAACTGCAGGACGACCAAGGGATATGGCAGCAACATTCCCCATCACCCACCTCATCCGTCTCCCATCTCCCAGCCAACGTTGTTCAAAGGATGGGTACATTCGTTGGGAGCATAGCTCCGCGATCACCTGAATTAAGCAACACGGAGCAAGAAGCTGAAGCAGAGAGGGATCGTAACACTAGTCCCTACCACTTCTTATCATAAAACACTGGCAACTGCCAGCACAACGATTTGTTAATTGCCTAGGTTTTTTATGAAATGAGATAACATGGCAAAGCATATGAAATGTATCTCATTTCTTTCAAGGTATTGTTTCATTTCTATTTCATTCCTGTTTCATATCCATATCATTTCTGTTTCATATCTATTTCATTCCTGCATTGCACTATTTTTCATTCCTGCCTGGGCTATTTTTCATTTCATTTCTGT